TGAGAGTGTGGAAGTGTTTCAAGGAACAGCTTCTGTGGAAGAAGTTTTGAGGACTTATCCCTTTGGTGTCTCTTCCTGAGAATGGCAACAAGTACTCCTGAGACCTCCATCTGCTAAAGTCACTATTCCAAAATGTGGAGGTGGTAAGATTTTGAATTGAGTATTGCAATATTTTTAGCATAGACAAAAAAAAAAAAATTTGTGATCATTGCCTCATAAGAGACTAAACTGCTTTCCAAGTAGAATTTCTTCAGTACTGAAATTGAGGTGGATAAAACTGTGGAAAAGTTTTCCCTAGACAGATGCAATTTTAGGAGAAAAAGCGAGCACCTGAGCATATGATCTTACCAAGGGAAGATTCAAAAATTACAGTCTTGAATATTGGTAGTGCAAGTAGCTCCACCTAGGATAGGTACAAAAATACAGATGTGCACATTCTTCCTAAGTGACTACATAATTATAACATCGCTTTTGTCATCTTGTTCCTTTTCCTTCCTAGTTGGTGCTATTGTTATCTGCTGCATAGTTGGCATGATGACTCAGATGATAGAATTATGCTGGAAATAATATATACGTGGAACACTGAGGCCCAAGAATGCAAATTCTTCTGGGCAAACAATCTAGAGTTTAGGGCTTTTTTGTATTTATTCTGTCAAGCACTAGAGTGTTATGTCTAAGAATAGAAGTTTTGTATTTGAACTACTTCAACTACTTCAAGAATAGAAGTTTTGTATTTGAACTACTGCTTTTAAGCTGAACCTCAAAACAAATTGTGCTTTAGTTCAAGGTTTGAACTTGCTGTTGAAAAGAAAATCAACAGTGCAATTTTCTTTATCATGAGCAACTACATCTACCTATGGCTTTGAGTGTATTATAAGAAGCTTAACAGAGTCTCAAACAACTGGAGTTTTCCACTGTAGTTTTTGTCCTCATTTGCTCTGGTAATCATTCAAGCTTAGCAACATTGGTTGAATTCAGATACAGGTCAACTGTATTCTGATGAAGTTCAAGGAAATGGGTGCAGCTGATTGAGCAATACCATAAAAAATTATAGAGAAAAAAATATGATGCCTCTCCTAATCAATGCAATCATATTTTGCTTTTCATCTGATTCAGTACCAGGTTTCTATATATGGATTAAACTATCTTTCTGAAAGTTATAGCTAGATGGTAAGTAATTTGCCTTATTGGAGAGTCTTTTGTTGAGAAATATTCTCTGTGATGCTAGATACATATGTCACCTCTTTTCTGCAAGTAAACAGATAAAATTCAGTATTTTTGACTGATCACCCTGTATAAAGTAATTTTCATTTGTTTATAATGTACCTGCAGCATGACAATAAAATTGGAGTTAAAAATCGCCAAATTTGTGACTATTACATTAATAGTAATGGAACATGAGACAGGCTTATAGGAATCAGGCCAATTGTTAGTGTAAAGCCATGCATACAGAAACAACTGTTTTGAAGTGACCAGGACCTTGCTATCAGTCCTGACTGATAGGAAATGCTCAGAGCTTAACTGTGGAAAAAATAGTTATATTCTATTTATTTCAATGCAGACTTGAATCAGCTAAAATCACAAGTCATTGAAACAGGCTGGCATTTTTTTTTCTTTTTGTGATAAACATTATGATAGACTCTGAAAGCTGGAGAAGGCAGGATAATAGCAGCAGGCTGTACCAATCTACTGTTTCGCACTGAACAGCTCCTTGCTGCTTGAGTAGTCTCCCTGAAATGTGTATTGAATGTTTGGGGGCACGCAAAGAAAAGGAAGCAGAAACTGGCCTTAAGAAACTCCTGTAGGATGCATTCACTGTCATTCTGTTCTAGACTGCTGGCACCTTCTGGAGAGGCTCCATCATATCTGATGACTGGTGGAGTACAGAGCATGTAATGAAGTCATATTTGATCATCACTTATTAAAACAGCTGTCTGAGGTCATAAATACAACGAGCTGTTTTCATCACCAGGAGCACTCCCAGAAGTGTGAAGGTGATGATTAACATTGCATCTCTAGTTCTGCTTATATCTTCAACCTTGTGGCAGATGCTTGTCTCTGGGGTTGTTTAAAAGCCATCAGAAAATGTCTTAATCACTGGTGACCCCTGCAAGAACTTTGGTGGCTTCCACATCGATCTGACATAAGGAGTGCTCCTGAGGCAAACGTGAAGACAGGCTTTTTTTATTGATTAGCCAGATTGTCTAGCCTTCCTGTTTTGTCTCCTCATTGGCAATTAAGAGAAATCCATTGAGGGAGTGGTGGCAGTGAACCTTCCCCTCTGATACTTTAACCAGGACTCTTAGTTAATTTGAGAAATTGTTCTGTATCGACCTCACTTTGAAGCAGGATTTCATCCTCTGGCCCCATCAGTAATACATATACATCTTCCTCTTAGGAAGCAGGCTTCTTCTAACTCTAGCATCTTTTGTTTCTTATTTACAATCCAAATCCTATCATTGATTCCAGTAATCTTTCCTGCACCATGAGCTGTCATTTCCTTGAGGGGAAACCTGGGTGGGTTTGGTGTTTTTTGTGGTTTTTTTTTTTTTTTTTTTTTTTGTGTGTGTGTGTGTGTGGTTTTTTTGGTTGTTCTGTTGTTGGTTTTGGGTGGTTTTTTTTTTTTAAACCAAGATAATTCATATTAAAAATAACAATCTAGGACCTTTGAGGGACAAAGGAGGCCAATTCTTGATGTGGTTTTAACATCCAGATAGTAAAGAGGCCACAGTGTTTCCTGGCCTGAAACTAAGACTGAACCCAAACATGCATTTTGGTGACTTAACTAAACTATGGGGATTAGCTTTCTACTACCTAAAATACCATTGTGCAGGTTAGGATGGTGATTGTTTATTCCAGAACACAGCATTTGGATGCTTTCTTACACATGTGACTCCTTTTGTGTCTGAGCAATGGAAAAACTGTGCTTGGCTAATGAGAGATGAAGCATTTCCTCACCCCTACCCCAGTAACCACTTATCTAATGCCCTACCCCAAATGAATGTGTTAATCCTTTATCTCCATCTTCCCCATCTCTGTTTTTTTGTCTCATGGAAAGCCAGAACTTGCTTGTCCTTCTCAATGTGAAAGTGATATTTTAGACTTGGAACCATTTAGATAAATAATTGGGAGTGTTCACAGTTTATGTCACTATGACTTCACTGCAACTCTGTGATGAAGGGCAAAATAACTTGGCTGGGGCAGAGGGGATGCCCTGGCCTTGGGGCATCAGCACAGGCTGGACCTGGGGCTGAGCACCCTCCAAATCTGACAACTCTTCCCCCTCTTTTGCACATGCATTCAGTTTTGTGTGTGGACGATTCACCTTCCTACCGTGTATGACTTAAAAGCAAAAATTTTGTCTTTAAAATAATCCTTGAGATTTGGTAAATGGATGTGCCAGGGAAGCTCTGTGTGAGCAGAAGTAGGATTTAGCATCTGTTCTCCTTGTTAGAAAGTGCCCTGTTGTACTTGGGGTGCCAAGGAGGATTTGGCAGGGGGGAAAGGTTTGACTCACCAGGTGCCATCCCCATCAGCACGGAGGATTTACAAACGTGGCATCCTCTCTTTCCATCTCCAAATCACAGCACAGAGTGAAACGCAGTGATACGAAAGATTAGTCTTCATTCGGCAAAGTAATTGCCAAATTAAATGATGCCAGATGGAAAAACTAAAGGCCACGGTGTCAGGGGTCTGTCCATAGCCCTGGGCTTTAGGAAGAGGTAAATACACAGACCCCAGCTGGTGCTGCAGGAGGTACGTGTCCGGCGGAAAGCCGGCGCTCGGACTGTGCCGAATCGATACCTGCTATCGAAGGGAGCAGCGCACAGCGTTAGGGCCAACCCAGTGTTATTAGAAAATGATATATTGCACATTAGGATGGATAATTCATGTCGCCTTCATCGGCTCAGACCGTCGTGAAAATCCATAAATCATTTTCTCGTTCATGTATCGCCTAAGTGCGATTTGTCACTCGGCATTAGCGGGAGGGCGGCCGCGGATCCCTGCCGCTTCCCAGGCACCGCTCGAGACCCAAAATGGAGACCCGGCTGCGCTTGGAATCGCGGGGGCAGATCGGATTCCCGGGCTGCGGGGCCCCGGGGAGGGCGGGAGGCGGCTGTACACGTGTATGGATATAAATATGTGTGTGGATATAAATATGTGTATGTTCCCGCGTGGCTGCTGCCCCGCGGATCACGCCGTCTCTGCCGGAGCCGCGCGTGGGTGTCGCGCCTCGAGCGCGCGTGGGGAGCGCCCCGAGCCCGGGGATGTGTTGTCCGCCCCTACCTCCGGGGCTTCCTCCGGCCCGCAGAGGCGGGCACAGGCACGGACACGGACACAGACATGGGCACGGACACGGGCGGGCTCGGTCTCCCGGGTTTCGCCCTCGTTCCTCGAAGGCAGGAGAGGTGGCCGCTGCGGGGGCTCCGGCGGCGGGAAGAGAAGGGCTAGAGCCGGGCTGCCCTGGCTTGCGTTCAGTGCCGGGCAGCGGCCGCTTCCCTATGGGCATCCAGCGCTCCCCCAGGCAGGAGAGGCACCATCTCCGCTGTCCGCACCGGGAGCTGGCGGCAGCGGGCGGGCAGGTGAGCGGCGGCGCTTCTGCAGGGGAAGGGAAGGCAGCGAGGTCCCCGTCCGCATCCAACGGGTAGCGGGAGCAGCCAGGGCATTCTGACGAAATTTTTCAATTTTTTTCTGGAAAACACCCACCGGAACTGTGCCCCGCGCTCCCACAGAGCCCGGGAGTGGGTAGGGAGCCACCCTGAAGGGGAAAGCAGGATGCAGTTTGAGGGAGAGAGGGCATCTCCGGCTGCCGCTGCCCCGCTCCCGCGGCCCGGCCCGCCGCAGCCGCACCGCCGGAGCGCGGGGCGGGCGGAGAGGGGCG